TGCAATGTCTCACAGTGTATTCTAGTTCTTTTGTCCTTTCTTATAAGTTTTAGAAACAGCTTGTTCATCTATAAGAAATCTTCCTGGGATGTTCGTTAGTATTTGCTATCTGGTTCTGGAGGTTTCTTTTTCAGAGCATTCTAAACTTAGAATTCAGTTTTTGTTAATAGCTATGCAACTACTTATGTTATTTATTTGAGTTTAAATGAGTTTTGGTAGTTTGTGATATTTGAAAAATTGGTCCATTTCATTGAAGTTGTTAAATGTATGTAAAGTTGTCTATAATATTCTTTATTATCCTTTTATATCTGAAAGGTCTGTGGTGGTAGATTTCCCTTCTTTCATTCCTTTTATTGATCATTTGTTTTTCCTTTCTTTATTTGTCCATCTTGCTAGAGGGTTATCAATTTTATTGATCTTTTTAAAAAAGATTTCGATTTTATTGACTTTCTCCATTCACTGATGCTTTCCTCTATCATCTCTGTTTTTCTATTGAATCCATCCAGTGAGTTTTTAATTTTTATAATTGTTAATTCTAAAATTTTCATTTGATTCTTTAATATTATATATTGTATTCCTTTGCTGGTACTTTATATTTTAATATGTGTTTGGAGACTGTTCACAGTTGCATTTGAGCAGTTTTATAATAGCTCTTTAAAGTCTTTATTAGGTAATTCTAACATCTGTATCATTTTGTCATTTTTCCATATGAGTTGAGATTTTTGTATTTCTTCATATACCTTGTAAGTTTGGATTGTATTTCTGGACCTTTGGAATATGACACTAAGAAACTTTCATTTAAGTCCTATAGAAACTGTTGATATTCGTATTTTAGTAAGAAGTTAACCTGGCTTAGTACAGGCACAAGTTCCAACCTTTCTTCTGTGACTTTTGTTCCAGTGTTTGTGCAGTTTTAGAGCTGTTGCAGTGCTGTGAGATTCTGCTAGCTCAGTTCTCAATGTCTTTATTATGCTAGATCCATGCATATTCAGGTAAGAGAAATGAGCCCAGTCTTTCATATAAAACTTTGTGAGATTGTTTTTCCCTTTCTACTATCTGTCTAGTACTTTCTGGTTCTTTGGGACTCCCTTTTTTGGATCTCTGGTCAGAAACCACCTACTTCCACAATTATTCCACCTCTGGTACCAGTTGGTGGAAGGGGAAAAAACAGGCTAGGCTTTGGACCCATCAGTTGCTGCTTTAATTCCGTCAGATGAAAAGGAAGTTCCTTCTTTAAAGTTTTGGTTCCTGCAGTATCCTGTTGATATTAATGTTCCTATGGGATATCTTGGAGTCTATGGCATGAGGGGATGGAGAAAAAGGAGAGAATCCTCACACCTGACACTTTTAGGGATTCTCCCATTTTCTCTTAACTTAAAGGATTCCTTTCTGACTCCTCCAGCCGTGACTAGAGGGCTTCTCCTGCATCTTTTTCTGTCTGCATTATAGTCTTTCATATTTGAGGCTGCACTGGATATAAGTTTGGCAGGTACTAGAGGAGAAAGAAATGCTGACTTGGTGGTATTTTGAATTCTGTGGGTTTTTTTCTCCCCAGTCTATCTTTTTCTGATCCTCAAATAGCTGCACTATCAGTTCAGTTGGAGAGAAATGGTATTGTGTGTTTATTCTATCTTTTTTAGAACTGGACCCTTTGTATGTTTTGAGAATATATATTCTGGATTTAGCTCTTTGTGAGATTATGATTTAAAAATATTTCTCCCAGTCTATGGCTTATCTTTTCACTCTTAAGTGTCTTTTAATGGGCAGAAATATTAATTTGATGAAGTACAATGTATCATGATTTTATGTATTGTGTTTTTGAAAATATCTACTTAAGAAATCTTTCCCTATTTCAAGGTCACAAAGATTTTTTTCTATGTTTTACTCTAGAAGTTTTATAGTTTTAGGCCTTACTTTATGTCAATAATCCACCTTGAATTGTGTATATGGGGTGAGATATGGATTGGAATTCTTTTTTTTTTTTGTCATGGATGTCAAATTATTTTAGCACTGTTTGTTGAAAAGACTCTTTCTCCACTGAGTGCCTTTATACCTTTGTAAAAAAAATCAATTTCCCTATATGTATATGATTCTATTTCTGGTCTCCATTGCTATTCCATTGTCCTGTTTTTTAAGGTAAAATGTACATAACATAATATTTATCATCTTAGTCATTTGTAAGTGTACAACAATTCAGTGGCTTTAAATACATTCATGGTGTTATGTAATCATCACTATTATCTATACCTAAAACTTTTTTATCATCCTCAACATAAACTCTGTATCCATTAAACAATAACTCAATTCTCTCCTCCCCTATCCCCTCATAATCTCTATTCAGCTTTCTATATGTATTTTCCTAATCTAAGTATATCATATAAGTGGAATCATACAATATTTGTCTTTATGTGTCTGGCTTTTTCATTTTGCAAAACGTTTTCAAAGTGCATCGAGAAATACAAAAACTTCATTCCTCTTATAGCTGAATACTGTTTCATTATGTGCATAGACTTGGAGGTTATTGAGCTTCTTGGATTTGTAGATTGAAGCATTTCATCAAAAATTGGGAAGCTTTTAACCATTATTTCTTCAGATATTCTTTCTACTCCTTTTATTTCTTTGTCTTCTGGTACACTATTTATATATTGATACACTTAGTAGTGTTCCACAGGTGCCTTAAGCTCTGTTCACTTGTCTTTATTTTTCCTTTTACTCAGATTTGAAAATTTCAGTTGTCCTGTCTTCTCTCTCTCTTAGTTCTGTTTGCTAACATCTGCTTTAAGTCCCTCCAGTGAATTTTTCTTTTCAGTTATTGCCTTTTTCAGCCTCATAATTTCTTGTAGTTCCTTTTATAATGTCTTTGTCTTTATTGATATTTTCATTTTTTTCATACATTATTTTCTTATCTATGTCTTCCTTAGCTCTTGTGCCTCTGTAAGACAGTTTTTAAAAACGCCTTGTCTAGTTAGTGAAATGTCTGAGCTTTTCAGGGTCAGTTTCTGTCAATGCTGTTCCTTTGAATGGGCAATAGTTGCCTGTTTCTTTGTTTGCTTGTGATTTTTAAAAAAATGGACATTAGAATATTTTTATATATTGACTCTGGAAATCAGATTGTCCCCCTTCACCAGAATTTGCTTTTTTTTAAATTTTTTATTGTTGGGAGTGTCTCACTCTGGTGCAGATTAGGCTGAGGTGAAAGCTTAAGGTTCTCCTCACATCTTTTTTGAGACAGTGTCTTTCCCCTGGCCTGTATGGTGACTTTCTAAATTCCTCTGTATATACATGATTGCTTTTGAATGTCCTAATCCTTAAATGTCTGGCTCCAAAAAGAAGAAAACAGTCGGGGAAAAACCCCAAACATGTGTTGTTCCTTTAAATCCCCTAGAAGCAGCTTTAGGCCAATGGGATTGAAATAATGGTGGCCAGACTCTGCTACCCAAGACTTCCTCAGACTCTGAGATGCAAGCTTTAAAATAGACTCAGAACTACAAAATAGTTCAGACAATTTCTGCCACTACAATTGTTGTTGATGTGGAAAGAGGGATTCCTCCTCCTCCTGCTTCTCTGAGGTCGCTCTTACATAATCTTTTAAAGTTCTTTCTCAGCTGTCCTAAAAAGAACAAAGGAGGTAAGTGTTCATCCCTGGACCAGTGCTTTAAAGATTAGAAGAGTATTCCTTAGAGTGACTTGCCAATGGACAAACCCCCAAAAGAATACAGAAAAGCAGAAGGATAAAATGTAAGCTACCTGGGCTACCATGTTGCCTCACTTGAAGATTTTCTTTCCTGGACTAAGATCTTGGTGTTCTTGCATTTTGTTTCACTGAAGATGAGTCCCCCTTTTCCAGGGGCTAATCTTTATTTTAGTCTGTCTTTAACTACCTACAGACTTCAATTTGTGGCTGGCACACCAAAGGCAACTTTCTCCTGACCCTTGGGAGTGTTCCTTTGTCAAGTACACTCAAAATGAATACGAAGATGCAACACAGGAGCTCTCAGTTCTATAGAGACTGTCAGATTGGGCAACTGCCCATACTAACATACCTGAAAGTAGAGTTCTTATTGGTATCTAGTACATTCTGCTCTGACCAATTTTATGTAATTCCTTTTTTCAGCTCTAGTGTTTCTGTACCTAATACATGTTCATTGAATTAATATATTGTTTGGGACACTTGTAGTAGTTTCTCTGTGAGGTTTTACTGATAGGACCCTCATTTGAACCTAACAATCACAGATGCAGATATATTTATGAACTTTTATAGACATGTGAGTAAGCCCTGGACCAATGATTCTCACACCTTGCTAAGTCATCAGAATCACCTGAGGAATTTTCCCCAAAGTCTGATTCCTATGTTCTAACAGTAGTGGTCGTTTAGTAAGTTGGGTGGAATCCAGGAATATGTATTATTCAAAAGCTATCTGGATAATTCTGATATTGCAGCTAGAGTAGAGAACAACAGCCCTGTGATCTAAGAAAATCTAATAGTCCAAGTAGAGGATACAAAGTGCCTCCTATTCTTTAGGGTTAGTGTAGCATACAGTCAAGAGCACTAGTTTTGCAGGTTAGAGATTGGATTCCAGTCTCAGTGTAACCACTTCCTAGCCATTAGCCTTAGACAATGGAGCTTCAGTTCCTTCATAAATTAGGTACTATAGGGTTACTGTGAAGATTTATGTAAGGCCTTAGCACAGTACCTGTACTGCAGCACATAATAAAGTTGGCCAGATTTATTTTGGTGTGCACACGTGCCACTGGGTTAGTCTGGATGAAGTAGTCTACTGAGGTGCACCTTCTCTAGGCATCTCTTTAGGAAATTGGGGACGGGGTAGGTTTCCTGTTTTCCCCAGCCAAGCCTATGATGCAAAAGCCAGCTAAAACGAAGAGGACTACTTTTGGTTTGCGCTTCCTTATTTGGCTCTAGGTGCTGGGCTACCCATGTCCGCCAGGGGCCGCTCGAGCTACCCAAACTCATTGCGCAAACCTGGCTACACCCTCGCGCGTGCTCACTCGGTGCCGCTGCGCCGCAGAAACGCCGCCGCCAACCTAGATTTCACCAGGGCTGGATACGGCAGCCCTTTGGGGGAAAAAAGCTTACCTTTTCTGTGGGCTTTGCTTTGCCCGTGGTTCTGTAGACACAACTGAGGTGGTAATTATTAGCGTCTTCATTCTGTTGCTGCCTGGGAGTAGGAGGAGGCTTGAGGCCGGCGCCGATTTCGGGCTGACTGGGGCCTGCGCCCGGCAAGACCCCGCCGCTACCCGGATGTTGCGATGGCTGATCGGGGGAGGCCGGGAACCTCAGGGCCTGGCCGAGGTAAAGCCCCGGGTGGACCCTGCCTGCCCTCGCAGGGGCCGAGCTTGCCGCAGGGGTGGCTTCCCTCTGAGCGGCTCTGCGGGGTCCGGAAGAAGCCGACCGGGCAGGGGAAGAGCCTGCGGGTGTGGAGGCCGGTGAGGCAGGGCCGGCGCGCAGTGGGGACTTCTCTCTGCAGCTGCTCCGTACCCCGCACCTCCTAGGACCTGGAGAGTTTAAAAATCTCTTTTCCCAAGGGGTGAGAAAACTAAAACTGCTGTTCTCAGGGATGCTCAGCTAGTCTTCCCAACTTAAACCCCATTTCAATTTTGAAAAGTATCAGACTTACTAAAAATAAACAAGTGGTGATCGCAACTCCAATTTTGGTTCATTTAAATTGTTGTCACTTCTCAACATCAACTGATGTTGAGGGAATATATAAAATCAATTTGATTATCCAAGAAAAAAAACGTGTTTTTAAAAATTACTTTGCTTCGAAGTCAAGAAAATGATTTTGTAGGTAACTGCTCGTCTTGGTTCCATAGTCACACTTTCTTCATGGGCCTGAATAATTGAATAGACTGTGATGAGATTGACATTTGAAGTCTTGTGAAGAAAATAAATTTGGAACTTTGAAGTGTTAATGTCTGTTAATCTATTTCATGTGCCACCCAAGTATAGAATTTGTGTTGAATTCCTTTATTTATTGTAGGAAATACTTGTTTTAAGTTTTAAAAATAAAAAACTTAGTTTGTTGAGTCAGCTTCCTTGATTCTCAGTTTTAACTTCCTCATATCTATGCAGTTAGGCTTATTTTTAAAAGATTCCTTATTTCAAATTTGGCCTACTTCAAATAGGCTGAAACCCCCAAAATTATGGAAGAATTATGAAAAATTGAATAGTCAGTATATATAATATAATTCGATATTAGCTTATTTGATTAATCATAGAATTTGATTAATTCTGGTGGTTTTCAGATCTCACGTTTTGCTTTTCCCATCAGAACCACTACTAGAAGAAGGGAGATGGGTTAAATAAAAACTACTGCTTTGGGTGTATATTTTTGGAAACCATTTATGTATGTTAAATAGTATGTTTCTGCATGTAACAGTATTTGAGTTGTATAACTGCTGTGAATCTGTACATTATCAGAACCAATCATTTTACTTAATTTATACAAGAACTTTGTATCCAGGCTTTTAGTTTAAGCAGTGTTTCTCTGCTGGGATGATTTTGCCCCTGAAAGAACGTTTGGCAATGTCTGGAGACATTTTTTGATTTGCATATGTAGGGGTGGGGTTGATTTCTTTTGACACCCAGTGTGTAGACACCAGGGATGCTGCTGAACATCCTACAAGGCATAGCACAGCCAGCCCTCAACGCCATAGAGTTACCTGGTCCAGAATGTAAATAGTGTCAGGCTTGAGAAACTGCAGTTTAGAGGTTAAGAACAAAGGCTTTTACCATGCAAGAGTACTGGGTTTAACAGTGCAGCAGTAGGGTTAATTAGTCTACATTACCGAATTACTGAGTGAGGTGCAGTGCGCTTCGCACAGTGGAGCATATGGGCTGTCACCCAAACTAAATGTTAGCAATCTTTGTTGGTATTACTGTCCTGAACTGAATCAGCTACTCTAAGTGATTTTATTCCTTCCTTTATTCCTTCAGCAATCATGTATTGAGTGCCTATAATGGGCTAAGCACTGTTTTAGTCTGCACTGTATTATCCCTTTGACCTGCGGTTTTGTTTATTCTAAGTTTTAATTGAGAAATCCATTCTAAAATACTGAGTTGGATTAGCCTATTAATGTTTTAGGTCAGGTTTATTGAGGTATAATTTCCATAAAATTCATCCTTTTTGTATATTTATTCTGACTTATTAGTAAAACTTATGGTGTGGGTTTGTGATAAGATAAATGTGTTGGTATTAGGGGAATCATGTAGTATTAAAACATGGTATCTTTATGTTAGTTGATATTAGGGGAAATCATTTAGTATTAAAACATGGTATCTTACAGATTTTTAAATCTTGTATTCTTAGATGTGTACCATGCAGTTTTATTACAGCATGGTCTTTTATCATAAATCATTTTCTCTCTTTCTCTTTTGTTTTTGCCTGTTCCCTCCCCCCCGCCCCAATCAATATAAGAAATCTCCTTTACAGACAATAGGTGAAGAGCAAACCCAGAATCCCTACACTGAACTGCTTGTACTGAAAGCTCATCATGATATTGTACGATTTCTGGTACAGTTAGATGACTACAGGTAAGAAATTCTTGTTGTCTAATTGACTACTGTTTGGAAAGAGTTTTTAGGGAATTTTATATCAACTTCAAAATAAATCCATCTTCTAAAAATTTCAAAACTGATCATTAGTAATATTTAGTAGAAGTTGACCTCTGTGTCTTGGTGAAATATGTACCTGAAGTCTTCATAGCCCAAAAATGTCAGGGTATCATATCTGGTGATTTGATGAGTCTTTTTGTTTGAGGGTTTTTGTTTTTAACTTTTTGAGTGCTTAGAAATAGTCTTCTTAGTTTAGAGGAGGCATATGACTTTAAAATTTGGGTGGGAGTTATAACCGTATGCTAAAGTGAACCTTAATTTGAGAAACAGATATGGGAAAGTTTAAATATCAATACCTAGTAGGAATGTGCTATTTTTAGTGGAAGGTAAGTATTTACTCTGAATTTGTTTGTTACTGGTGAAACTTTAAAAAAATGTATATTCTGTACTTTGTTAACATGTACAATATTGTGTTTAATATATTTGCAACTAGAAATCAAGGTGTGTACATATTCTGGTATGGTCTTTTTTTGTACTCTTAAGTGACTGCTGCTGTGATTATTCCTAATTCTGACTAATGCTTCTGATGTCTATTACCCTTGCCTTCTCTCTGCCTTTTTTTTAAAGTCTTTGGTATTTGTTTGCTTTTCTCATGTGTAGTACATTTCTGATACTACATGAAGTTAGGTCAGATTTTACAGGTTAAGGGTACAGTCCTGCACCTCACTTCAGTTACCAGTAGCAGTGGGTTCCCAGGCCACCCATACTTTTGAGCAACTGGCTACAAATTCCTACCACCCTCAGGTTTGGTAACTTGCTAGAATGACTGACAGAACTCAGGAAAGCACTACAATTAGGATTTCAGTTTTATTATGAAGGATACAATCGGGACCAGCCATATGAAGAGACACATAGGGCAAGGTCGAGCAGGGTCCCAAATGCAAAGCTTCTGTGTCCTAAGGACATGTCACCCTTTTATCACATCAGTGTCTATTACCAATGAAGAAGCTCACTTGTCTAGGGTTTCTGTTGCGGTTTCATTTATAGGAATGATTGTTTGAATCATTCACCATGTGATGGAACACAATTTCCAGCCCTTCTCTCCCTGCCCTTCCCACCACACCTCAACCCCAGGTTGGGAGGTCAGGTGGATATCCCATGGCTCAAATCCCTGGCCCTCTTAAGTATGTGGTTCATATTTCCCATGTGGCCAGCCCTCATTCTTAAATAGCCTAGGGGTCCCCTGTGAATCATCTCATTAGTATAAACTCAGGTAAGGTCTGAGGGTCCCAGCTCCCATCTAGAAACCAGGAGCAAAACACAAATTATATAACATGTTCCTCAACTTTTGCTTGAAAAGATTTGCCTCTTAAATATATTACTAGCCTGTCAACACTATTTTCCTGTTGTGATGTGAGCCAACCAAATCATAGCATTGTTAACTCTAGTATAATAGTCTTCAGCTTTTTTGGTAGAATCCATCATTGCTATGTCCTAAGACACTATATTTATTTTGTCAACCAGATCTTTGAAACTAAACAGTTCTGGAAAGATAGGATATTTGGACATCTAAAGTTTTCTTCTGCCATATTTTACCACAGTAAGTTTGTAGGTAGGTCAAAAAATTTTTTTCTTGGACCATAATCACTAATATTTGGGCCGTAAGGAATCCTCAAATCATTTTGTTTAGAAAGTGAAATTAAAAATATACAGTATACTTTCAGGATGTGGTCTTTAAACTTCTGTGTAGATTAACTGTAGATTCCATGTTCATTGCTATGTGAAATGTCCTCTTGTTTTTCTTATTACATAGAAGAAGAATCAGTGGAAAAGACCATCTTGTAGAATGTTGGTGTTTGATTACATTTTCTTCACAGTGGTCTCCTGTAAGCTTCAGTTGCTCAGTGATAATACTAAATTTCTGTAAACAGTAAAAACTGATGAATGAGTCTGTCAGTTATCCATTGCTCTGTCAAATATCACCCTAACTTACTGGTTTAAAACAACTCACTATTTAGCTCACTCTTTTGCAGCATGGCAGTTTGGGCCTGGGTCAGCTGGGTGGAGTGTTTTTTGGTCTGCTCTAGGATCAGCTGAGCTTGATTAGGTTCACTTATGAGTCTGTGGTTAGCAGGTAGGTTAGCTGGGGCTGGCTCATTCACAGTGGTCTCAGCAGTGATGCCTGGGATCTCTCTCTCTCTGGTTGCTCTTGTGCATATAGTGGTCATGGGGTTCTCATACCTGCAAAAGTGCAAACCCCAATGTAAAACTCTTTTCAAGTGTCTCTTTGCATTATGTTTGCTGCTGTTGCATTGGCCAGAAAAGTAAGGAACTGGTACAAATTCAATAAGTGGATAAATAAACTCTACTTCTTGATGGGAGAAGCAACCAAGTCCTGTTGCAAATTGTGATGGATATAGGGAGGGAGAATATTTTATGGCTGTGTTTGCTATATAACACAGTGAATCTAAATCTCTAGAATAGGTGAAGAAGCCTACTTTGTGTAGTAAAATGAAGCTGTAACTACATGAATCATGTTTAATTTTTTGTACTGAAGTCATTGCTGAGTCAAAAATTACATATAATTAGGTATGAAGTTTTTCAGTTAGTTGTAGACCTGTAGAACTTTCAATCTGTGTTTTGTTTTTAAAATTTTATTCTGTAGTATACTTAAAGAAATAACTGAAAGGGCCATTTTTGGTAAGAAAGACATAAGTCTACAACTATATAAACATTTATTATAAATAGATTGAGTTCAACATTTTTATTAATAGTTTTGATGGCTTAGAATGATCTTTTCTGTTGCACATGCACATTATTTGTGCATTGTCAAATTACAGAAGTACCTTTCCAATTTTTAAATAAATGTTATGCTTTTTATGTTTTTATTTAGTTTTTGTAGACATTACGTTCTTCTTTTTTGGTCAGCTGTTGTAATCCAGGTTTCACGCTCCAGATCTTTAGATAATATCATTTTATTGAGAATTTTGCTGAAGGATTTTCTTGTTTTCTCAGTGGCTCAGCTAAAATCAGTGAGTGGAAAATTTTCTCAGATTGGTTTTTGAAGGTATCAAATAAATCCTGTATAACGTAACAGACAGCTGCCTTTTCTTTTTTTCTTTAGTATTTTTTGAACATGACGTGAGGGTCATATTGATTGAGAGATCACTAAAGAAGGCTAAGCCTCAGCAAGAGTCTCCCAAAAAATGGACTGTGCTAAAATTGCACGTAATACTCTAGCATTTGACACATTAAACTAAACTGAGTTCATAACACATTTTAAGAATAGTTTTCTTTGTTGCTCATATGACCATTTCTTGCCTCTCCAGGAAACAGACAAGGTTATATAGGATGGTGATCATGACTGGAAAAGAATCAGGTGACCCATGAAATGCCAGACTGGAGAACAAAATGTGCCCCTAGAATAGCTGGTGAAACTGTACATTCACAAGAAATTAAACAAACTCAGTGTAGTTTGATAATTCACTAACAGCAAACAGTATGTTACATCTTTTAGAAAATATCCTTGAGCTAAAGATACCTTTCTCATAGAAATAAAGTCATCAAGATGGTTTAGATCTCCTAATGCCTGAGTTCCCTGGGAAATAGTAAAATGGAGTTAAGCATGGAAAAGGTATATTAGAAACACCAATCAAGGGAAAAGGGAGAAAGCAGGACTGGACAAAGGGAGTTATCTCAGACTGTAATACAGATCTAACAAAGTCTCTGTAAGCCTGTTGGGGAGCTCTGGCAGAGAGAATACCTTTAGGGGAATCTGTGTTGGATGGAAATAATTAGGAGTTTTTACCCTGTCTTGCTTGTCATTGGCTGAAGGTCACCCATGAATATGCCCCTGACTTCCACCACCTTGCTTAAGTGCCAGTGTCTGGAAGCCAACTGAGGTAGTATGACTTTGGCTTGAAAGCTGAAATGGACTTAGTTAATACAGATCTAACAAAGTCTCTGTAAGCCTGTTGGGGAGCTCTGGCAGAGAGAATACCTTTAGGGGAATCTGTGTTGGATGGAAATAATTAGGAGTTTTTACCCTGTCTTGCTTGTCATTGGCTGAAGGTCACCCATGAATATGCCCCTGACTTCCACCACCTTGCTTAAGTGCCAGTGTCTGGAAGCCAACTGAGGTAGTATGACTTTGGCTTGAAAGCTGAAATGGACTTAGAGATCAATAGCTGGAGGTAGGTAACCGCATTCTTCATAGCTGGGCATCTAGTCCTTTCTTGAAGGGTTATCTGCCTTATACAAACTGTACCTTTGTATCCATAATAATGATGTGAGGAAATTTCTCTTTATAGAAGACTGGAAGCTAGGGAGAATCACAGAATTGGAATATTGCAGTTTGCATCCTCTAATAGAATAACAGATTCGAGCAATTTACTGTGACTGTTAACGTTACACAAAGAGACTGCCAGACATGATATTTCCTGATGGATTATACAAACTGCCAATGAAATAATCTTATTGAAAAGTCAAGTTTGAATCTGGTTAATTTTCTACATCTGTCAGTTTGCCAGAAATAGAGGGGACAGAGGTGCAATGTTAAATGACTACACAGAAAGGTAGCTACCAAAATCCAGACTGTGAGAACTTTGCAAGACAAATGTTTAATTGCAAGGAAAAATAATATGAAAAAGGAATCAATAATTAGAATTGAAAGATATATCAACCAATTGCAATTTAAGAACCTTATTTAGATCCTGTTTCTAATAAACTTGAAAACATTTGAGATGGAAATTTAATCACTGATTAGGTATGTGGTAACATTAAGAAATTAAATGTTAACTTCAGTGATGTAAAAGAGTCTTAAGAGATACATACTGCAATGTTTACTGATGAAATATGTGACTAGGATTAGCTTCAAAATAATCTGTGGAGGAGGAATTGGGTGTGGTACAGATGAAACAATATTGGCCATGAATTGATAATTACTGAAGACAGGTAATGAGCACATGGGGATTTTTGTT